AGTCCGGCAGCGGTGGAGCTTTGAAACCTTCAAGAGCTTGAAGCTCCTTCAACTTTCTTCTCCACGTAGAGGCCCTGCAAATATTGCTTGGATCCGGACCACTCCCTCAAACGGTCTGGAGTGATTCCTTTAATTGAATAATATTTTAGAAGTATATAAGTGTCTTAATAATGTCATGATTAAGTAAGCACACTCTAATTAGATTTGTCTTATCGAAACGTCATATTCAAATATAAACCTCTCAAATTTATAGATCTTTTGGGCCCTAAAACATAATCCCAAAGAAAAACAATTTCTCTATTAAATAATAAATTGAGTTGGCACATGTGGTTATTATCATTACTTTCATTAATATTTTTGAAAATGTGATCAATGTATCTTTAAAGAACGCTACTTGAATTGATGGTCTTCGAGTAGGGGTTTAAAGAAGCTACTCTCTGAGCTTGAGCTTCATTAATTAATTGTGTTCAAGCTTGAACACGAGCTTAAGTTAAGAGTCCGAACCGGCTCATGAGATAATTTATTTACTATGAAATTGTTATGGTATGACTCATATACCATATAGGGACAGACGTTGGATGAAGTGGAGCGAAGCGGAATAATCTGTCCAAATTGGGAAGTTACGTGGGTTGGGGTATGGGGGCAAAGCCCCGCGGTATGGTACATGGGTAATGTTGTAATTACATATTGTGCCTAGGGTTTACTCCTAGAGTTATAAATAGGTCTGTTAGTAATCCCAGGAGGTATCTCTGATTTCTGTAAACCCTTTTCTGAATAGTGAAAGGAATCGCAATTCTGCTTCCGAGGACGTAGGCATCTTTGTCGAACCTCGTTAAATCTCTGTGTTCTTCTGGATTTGTGTCGTTACTGTTTTTCTTCACCCTAATTTTCTCAACAAAAATAGATAAAATAATATTAATTTAAGACAGTGAGATAATAAGAAATCATTTGACATAACGTATAAAAATATCAAGGAAAATCCAAATTTCTTGGATACCAACTATTGGTTTTATTGAGGAAAATCAATGAATGTTGTAGGGACGGATAAGGTGTGCATTGTTTGGTGGGACAAATTTGATTGATTTGATTTAGTTTTAAAAATTAATTTTGATTTCTTTTGTATTAAAACTAAAATATTTGATTTTTTTTAATTGTGATATATGTAATTGTTTTATTTATTTTTTTCATAACCAATCTCAAACTAACTTCACAAGCGAACCTGAATTGAGTTTTGATTCAGTTTGTTCAATTTTATAAGAAGTCTGATCAATTTGATATTTAATATTTTGGATATCGATTGCAATCGGTTCGACTAATTTAAAAATCGATCCATCCAAATCAATCGAATCCTCGCCTCTAAACCCAATTTTGTGGAGGACAAAATCTTAGTAAACCATAAAATAAATGTGCAAATTAATTAAATTTTTGTTATGTTCATCTTTTTTTTTAGGATTTATTTTATTTTTTATCAATAAATATCGTGATATGAAAGTCAATGTCTAAAGCAATGTTTTCTTTGTCTAGTTTGTGCGAATTCTAGCCGACTTAGATGACCAAAGATAGTTTACACTAACAAAGTAAGTGATTTTAGATTTGAATTTGTTGTTGGTGGTGACATTACATGCAAATAAGTATGAGAAGGTTTGTTCTCTTGAATGGATGCCACAAAATAGTATGATGATATCTAGAGATTTTTATATGGTTCTAAACTGGCACATGAAAGGAGCACTTAACGACGAGTAGGGTCTCCAAAGTTTTGGGACGTTGGAAGATGAGAATTACACCACAGAGTATATATAGTTTACCAATGCATAAAAAGTATTTGGGCTAGCCCTACAAGAGGTCTCAAGACTAATCTAAGCAAACATATCATTTATTACATAACAACAAAGCAAAATATTTTAAAAGTTCTATAGTTCTATATCTCATCCATTCATTTAAATTGTTATATCAAATACCAACCGTGAATATATCTCTCGTATTATGTTAATCTGCTAGCCATATTCATATGACTAATCTAAACAAACATATCATTTCATCTTCATATTTTGAGGCTCTTGTGAATATCCCATTGAAAATCACTCTTTTTCATTTAACATCATCATCATCATCATCATTTTCTCGACATCACCATGCTCAGAAGTCAATATCTTTCTCTCTTAACCACATATGTAACATCAAGTCTTCCTTACAAGGCCATAGAATAATACAACTTTTAATGCACACTTTAGAGCATAAACATCACCTCATGTAAAAATGAGTGCATCATGACCCTAAGAGCCACTAATGTTTCCACTCTATGAATTTGATGATTACTTTCTATCCTTTGACTGTAACACTGGATGAGAGCTCTACCACTCACAAAGTTTAACTAGCCAATAACCAAGAGTTTACACTTATAAATACCCTAGTTTTATTCTGCAAAAAAGACATTTGTCTGTCTTTGCAACTTTAGTTCTCTTCATTATTCTATATGAAGTCAAGTATAGTTGATATGTCATCAACAATTTCTTAAGAACAAATACAAATTTCGATATATTTTTTTTTATTATATGAAATCTTTCAAATTGTTGATCATCCAAACTTTTATTTAATCAAATTTATAGTCAAACTGAGTTCCTTCATAAGACAAACCCAACGATTCTAAAATTAATTCAATCCGGATCATATTAAGCCCAAATTAAGCCATTGAAGCACAATTATAGGCTTTGGATTATCAATTGAATGGACAAATAAACTCCCAATTTGACATATTTTTAATCAAATCAAACGTCTCGACTAGAGAATCCAACGAGTCTAAGATCGCTCAATTCTGAGATTATTAAGACACCCAAATTCTTAAAAAACCAACTATGATTGAGGAGGATCAGCACGAACCATCCAATCAAGTCGTTGAGAAAGTTATGCGCCAAAATGACAAAATGTCTCGGCCAAAAATACTATAAATACGTCATCTTTCTTCAATTGGAGTAGAGGGAGAAGAGAACGAGATGTACAATTTCATAGCTTGTTTTTAGAGAGAAGACCTGGCAAGTAAGCACATGCCCCGCTAGCCACCATTGACAATCACCCTCTAAAGCCACCTACCACCATTGACCGCCGCTAGCTATCACCACCTACCGCTACTGACCACCAGCCGTCAGCGACCACTACTTGTAATCATTTGTAGCCATACTACTATTGTTAATGAATTTCCTAACAATAGTACTTTTCAGGTATATAAGACGAGCGTAGTTTTCAATATAAGATACAGTAGATTAATTTGACTAGGCTGGTCCTGAGATTCTGTCTTTCAAATTTTTCAACGAAAGAATTTTGGTGTCTCCCTTCGCGATATTTTCTCATTTGTGTGTTGAATTTTCATGCAATCCTAGTACAATAAAAAGTAAAACTTAGATGTTCAGATATGTAATTACATAAGAATTGGGTGGCATGCATGTAAATGCCCCCAAAAAATTTATTTTACCACTTATAAGAAAAAGAAAACAATTAATTGCTTTCAATTAATAAACAATTAAAAGTCAATAAAACATGGTCCCCCCGCGAAGCATGATCTCAATTATTCGGCACGTGGGTTTCCCTCATAAATAATTGTTTGTGGTGCTTTCGTTAAATTAAATGCATGATTATGCCCACATGAGTGCTGTTCAACTAATTAATGCCCATCGCTGAAACACAAACATAGTATAACTTAGGGGTGTAAACGAACCGAACACGAACGAATAAAGTTTGTGTTCGTGTTCGATTTGTTTAAAATTTAGTTTGTTTGAAATAAGCTCATGTTCGTTTCTTAACGAACGAGCCGAACACGAACCGAACACGAGCTGTTCGCGAACGACGAGCTAATTTGACATCCCTAATATTAATATATAAAAATAATATTATATATTAATTATATAACTTATATTATATAAATAT